GACAGTGAATTTTATCAGTCTCTGCTATGTTTATTTAGAGATTTATGTATGATTTGTTAAAGAAATGGGATTCATACTCTCTGCTGACTGCCAGTGCCTTTGTCCTAAGAGCAGCTTTGGAGTCTGTGGGGAACACACTCATTTATTGCAGTAGACAATAGTGGGATGAACACCTAGGGATCCTGTGTTGCTTTCAAAGCAGCTTGTTCAGGTATGAGATTTCTGAGCAGTTTGAATTGTGTTTACTTGCTCCATGTATTTTTCAGAAAAATATTAGTGTTGTTGTTTGTTACTAAAACTGTACAAAGTGCCATCACCCAGTCCTTGTCAGAGCTAATGGGGTGGAAAGCAGGGGGTGCTGCCTGCAGCTGGGAGGAGCTGCTCTGTTGTGAGTTCCCAAACGCAGAGATGCAGGAGTGCTTTGATCCTGCAGGTCTTGCCGAGGTGCTCTGCTCACACCTCTGGCCTGGCTGTGCCCGGGCAAGGGAGATGCCCTCAATACACAAATGTTGTGCTCCCTGTCCATCTGCAAGTGCCCAAAGCAGAGCTCAGGCACTGCCTGAAAGGCTGAGGAGCTTTGCACACCCCTGCAGTCTGTGATTAACTGCAGAGTAAAAGGTGTGTAGTGGTTGCTGTTTGTGAGTAATCAATTCCTACTGCAGCATTTGTGAGGGTCCTAATGTATTTGTGGCCTTTTTGAAATTCTTTAGTTTAAAGAGTACACTGCATCTTCATGGCAGAGTGAGGCTGAAGATTCCCCTGGAAGCAGACATGGACTTTTCTCTCTTCTCTTCTCTTCTCTTCTCTTCTCTTCTCTTCTCTTCTCTTCTCTTCTCTTCTCTTCTCTTCTCTTCTCTTCTCTTCTCTGTGGGTGTGTGAAGGAAATATCATAATCACAGAATAGTCTGAGTTAGAAGCAGTCTTAAAATTATCATCTCTGCTGTGGGCAGGGACACTTCCACTATCTCAGATTGCTCCAATTCAAGCTGGCCTTGGACACTTCCAGGGATGGGACAGCCACAGCTTCTCTGGGCAACCTGTGCCAGGGCCTCACTAGCCTCAGAAAATAGTGTTTTTTCTAATATCCAATGTAAACCTGCCCTCTGTCAGTCTGAATCCATTTCCCCATGTTCTGTCACTGCATGCTCTTGTAAAAAGTCTCTCTTCATCTTTCTTATACACTCCCTTCAGGCAATAAGGCCATATTTATGTTTATGAGTGCAAACAATGCTTTTTCTCTTGTTTTTTTTTTTCTGTCATCAGACTTACTTTTCTCTCTTGTTATATATTACTATTAACTCGTTAAGGAGATATTTGTGTCTGTCCTGAAAGAGTTGTGTCAGGACTGCTACAGGAGCTCTCTTCAGACTTCTCCTTTGTGACCATTATTTGATGTTTTCAAGGGAGAAGGAAAGAGCTCAGCCAGCACAAAGCACCCTGGGCAATGAGGGTTTTTGTTAAAGTGCTGATTCTGGGCTTATCACTGAGTTAAAATTGGAGTCAGAAGGTGTTGAGCTATTTGCAATATTTTAGTGAGCTCCATAAGGAAATGAAGTTCCAGTGTGATTGTTGGGTCAGACAGGAAATGTTCCCTTTCTTTATTCCACCTGGCTGTAGGTTGTTCTATAGGGGGCACAGTGACTTCATCAACACTACATCAACCAGTTGTTGCCAAAGAACAAATGTTGTGGTATTATTCTTTGCCTTAGTGTTCAGTGGGTAGTGACTGAACCTGAGTACAGCTGTTTAAAAATTCTTCAGATATTAAAGAACACTGTTAAAGCAATTGTGTTCTTATAATTTTCTGTGTTATCTGCTGAGACACGAACTGCTGTTTGTGTTACACTGTTGAATCACAGTTACTAAAATGCTTAAAAATGTTAGTCTGTATCTGACCTTCTGTCCTGTCTTGGTCTGGTTTTTCAGTGGCTCCATTATTGTGAAATACTGCTCCACATGACTGTGAACCGAGCAGAAAGTCTTGTCTTTTTCACATTTAGTAGCTTTCAATCACTAATGGTTTCTCACTGTGCATCTGAAGCTCTCAGATTTTTATGCTCTCGTATTAGAAGAAGGTTTGAAGTAGCTTGGACACAAAACCAGTTCTCATTATGTTGAGCTCAGGTAGTTAAATTCTAAGAGTATGGGTGGACTTGCAAAATTTTTGGTTGTCAGCAGTCAAAACTAATTTGGTATGAAGTGGGGAAACTACTATGGGGTTATACTGAACAAACTGAGCAGAAATGCTCCATTGCCAGTGCTGACAGTGGCTTTGCTCTGCTTTATTTGGTTATAGCCATTCTGTGATCCTGGTCTTTCAGTGAGTCTGGAGAGAAACTGAGGGGGGAAAAAAAGTGTGAACATAGTTAATCCAGATGAGAAAATAAGCTGTCACTCCTCAGTCAATAAATGAGTCTCTAATACCTACACAAAAGTGTCCAGTAGTGCTCCCAGCTGCAGGACAGGCTTTTAAAGCTGCTGAGGTGAATTCACAGGTCACAGGATCAAGTGGTGATTGCCTTCCTGCTGACCTGTACAAGCATGAAGGCACCAGCTGGGTAAAGACCTCCAAGAGCAGCTGGTTTTTGTCTCTTCTTTTCAAAAAGGTAAGTGCTGGTGATGGCAGTCACAGAAATCTCCCAACTGTGGGTCAGGAGGGAGGTTCAGGAGTTCAGTGGCTCCTCCCAGGAGGCTTCTCTCAGAACACAATGTCAGGCAGCCAGAAGTTGTGAGAATTCAGAGCTGCAATTGCAATTGCAATTGCTGTAGAAGGTTTTGGCAACCTTCAGGCCACAGAAGTGAGGGAGCTGAGCTGCTCCTCGAGGGAGAAGGTTCCAGTGGTTGCTTTCAGAAGTGGCTCTTGGGCAGGATCAGGCAGCTCTTTGGCATTGTGAATACTTCCCATCGTGTCCTGCTGAGGTGGGTTCCTTCAGCACCTTGGCTGAGATGTGCTAAGAAAAGGAACAGTTTAAAGCTGTGTTTCACACCACATCAACATAGAAAAATGGTTTGGTTTGGCTTTTTTTTCACGGAAAGTGTGGGGAGCTGCTACCATGAAATAATCACGTGAATCAAAAATCTGTAAACAAATTCTTCTTTCAGATGGCAGCCTGCTTTTTTTGAGAACAATAAGTGACAGTGTTTCACACTAGGGAATGAAACCCAGTGCTCAGGAATGGCAGACCTTTGGTTTCAAGCACAATTAAGCACACGCTGTAGTATTATCTTCATCATTCCTGGTAGCTGTGAAGATTTCCATCTCAGTGCATTCTGCTTGCATTATGTGCCCTTGCTCATAATATGGCAAATAACCTGAAATTTTGATGGTAATACTCAGCCTTGACCCACTACAACTCCTGGCTGTGCTGTGGTGCTCTGAGTTAATGTGGTTTTGGGAATATTTCCTACAGGCAATTAAAATGTGGGGAATGGCTCAAGAGACTGTTCAGTGAAACACAGACAAAGCAAAATTTGTCAGTGATGCAGCATTAATTCCATGGTAAAGTGAATTACTATCAATGTTTATCTGCTTTGAAGGAGTGTGTACTCCTGGCTGTAGAATTCACAAACTAAGCTGGATTGATGTGGGCAGCACAAGCATTGCTGGATGTTTGTGCTTTTCAAGGCCCAAGATGGTGTTTTGGGCAGATTTTGTTATTTTTGGCATGGTTCACAGGATGTTTCTTTCACATTTTTCTCACTCCTCCTTCTCACAGCTGCTATGCAGCATTTTTTACCCTTTCTTAAGTATGTTCTCACAGAGGTGCTACCAGCAGTAAGTGACTGGCCAAGCTTTGGGCAGCAGCAGTTTTGTTTTGGGGTTGTCTGAAATGGGCTCTGTCGTGGAGATACTCTGGTGCCTTCTCCCAAAGGCCACTCCTTGATGCCCCAAACCTTGCTGCATAACCCAGTGCACCTGTCTAAGCAGGTTTTTTTGGTAGTACTACTATGATAACTATTGTTATCACCCTCCCCTTTCCTATTTAGTTTTATCATTGAGTATTTTGATATTCTAAGTGTTCTAAGTTTTTTCTAGATGCAGTTTTGATAATCGAGTAGTTATTTTATTGGTAGCACATGGAACAGCCTGGTCTAGTGGAAGGTGTCTTTACCCATGGATTGGACTTTGGGGTTCCTTCCAACACTCTATGAATATTAACCTTAAAACAATATAGGTCTTTTCAGCTGCCTCATTCTCCCCTCTAAACAAACACTCCCAGGTTTTTCTCTATTTGCAGACTTCCATTTCATCAGAGAAATAGGAATCATTGAATCATAGAAAGGTTTGGGTTGGAAGGCACCATGAAGATCAGATACAATTTTGTGTTGAGGTTTTATATTTCCAAATAGACTTATTTATTTATTTATTTATTTTTCTGGAGACACAGTTTTACATATTGTTGAAAAAAATTGCTGGATAAAACTAATATGCAATCATTGTGCATTCTTGAAGATAACCCAAATAATATATATTTCTTTGAATGTTCTTGTATTTTTAAGCAACACCAAAGAAAATCGTTCTTACCAGCTGTTATGATTTAGTAGCATAACACAGTACAATTATTTTGAGGATTAGATAGTTCCACACAAGTTAACATCAAAAGTAATTTGCTTCTCTTTATTGCCTTTGATACTATTTAATCTAATATTTCAGAGCACTCATTGTTCCCACACAATACCATTATTAATAACCCTAATATATGTGAGGCTGATTGTTTTGTTGATATACAGATTTAATAGATGGAATTGTAAAAACTTGTATTTTGGCAATAAAAAAACCTAACAAAAAAGAGGTAAAGACTGGCACTTGAAAAGTTCTGAGAAATCTCTTTTGCTTAAGGTCACTTAATTATATTTGATCCACCTGTCGAGGCTGAACATAACTCTGAGTGCTGAATGCAGAAATTAGTTGGCATGCCATTTGAGTTATTTGGTACAAAAAAAGCTACAGTCTAAGTTATATGTGAGTTTGAAACTGTTTTTTTAATTTTGTTTTCTAGAAAAGAAAGATGTGACGCAGAGCTTGGAAAGCTACACAGCAAAATGCCCTGGGACAATGGAAGTCATCACTCTTCCAGATGGTTTGAAGCTGCCTCCTGTTCCCTTCACCAAATTGCCTATTGTGAAGTAAGACCTAAACACAATCTTTAACTTTTTCACAGTACCTGTCAAATTTTAAAGGATACTGAAAGGATGCAGTCATGTCACTTTATGCATGTGGATCACAGGAACATGGAAAAATGTCAAAATGTCACATTGTTCTGAGAAGCTCTTGAGCAAAAATAGAGCCTTTGACCAGAAAATACTTTGTGGCCTTTAGTTTCAGAGAGAGAGGAGTTTTGTTTTTTGGAAGAACTGTCCTTCAACAGTTTCTTATTCAATTGAAGGAAAGTATTTTGGTGCAGCTGAGATTTTAGTTGAATACTTGAGCATTTCCATACTGAATGTCCATGAGTTGGATACAGTTTCCATCCACAGAGCTTGGAACTCACCTGGAAGTGGTGCTTTTTGTAACTCACCCTTTCCAGCATTTTCAAGCTGGCACCTTCACTGGCCTGTTCTAAATCTCAGTTCCATTCAGGCACCTCATGCAGTCAGGCCAATAATAATAACTTGTTCAGGTTGAAACCTGGCATGAAATATTGAAGTCAGAGAGAGAAAGCAGCCTCTGGGTTACCAATAATAGAAGAGAAAAAGAAAGGAAATATTTTCTTTTTGAAGGCTTGGTAATTTTTATTCAGGAAAAGTATGCTGAATAGTGAAGAAAATGAGGCAAATGCTGATTGAATCCTTCTTCATGGGAGTCATGCATTTAGTCATAGCATCATAGAACCATGGAATAGTTAAACCTGGAGAAGACCTTTAAAGTGATTAAGTCCAACCATCAAGCCAGCACCACCACCATGTTCACCATTAAACCATGCCCTCAGATGCCCCATCCACACATTTTTTGAACACTTGCAGGGATGGTGACTCCACCACCTCCCTGGGCAGCCCCTTCCAATACTTGACAGCCCTTTCCATGAAGAAAATTCTTCTAATATTGAATTTAAACCTCCCCTGGTGCAATTTGAGGCCATTTTTTCTTATCCTGTCACTTGTTACCTGGGAGAAGAGACTGGAAAAAGAGGCCAGTCAGAACTCTGGTAAGAGATTCCCCAGACTTCAATGGGAAAGACTTTGTGTCACTTTGTATGCTGAGAGAATGGGACAAACATATCCACTTACATTATCAACTTGTCTTGACCTGGCTGTGCTTGGAATTTTGGGAATAGCTCCTGTTTTGCCATGGGGTGTGGAACCCAGCATGAACTTTAATTAACATTTAAGAATTGCTGCTCCTCTTCTCCTCCTTCTTGTCTTTTAAAATTTTCATAAAAGCCATAGTAATAAAAGTTTGTACTCCAGTGAAATATTAGTTGAATTAGATAGAAAATCTCTGGTTACATCTGCCCAGCAAGTCTGGTGTTGCAGAGCTGCCCAACCCATTGGGAGCCAGCTGTGCTGCTGGACTGCAGAGTTCTCTGAGCTAAATTGTGCTAATTTTTGTGACATCAGTTATAAATGTGTGGAAATGTCATTTTGATCAACATTGAATAACCTCAGCTTATGATTCAGTCCATGTTAGAGCTCTCTAGAAACCCACATTTGCTGATGGGGATGACTTCTATTTACTGCTGGCATTTCATGGTCTGTGAGTTTTAATCCATTTAATGTGGGGTGCTTATTTTGGATGTGGATTTCTTAATCAAAATACTGTCAGGCATGGAAATGCCACAGTGAAATAGGAGCACAGTGGCAATGTTACCTTTTCTCCCCAGTACTTTAAAAGCAATAGAAGAGATTTGGCAAGGCAAAATCTTTATATTCCATTACTCATGTTCATTATGAAATCATCATCTGGTATTTTCTCAGATAAAAAAATACACTATTCCCATTTTTATAATTTACCTGTGTTAAAGGTAATTGTCTTGCTAATATACTTAAAAGTGGAAATTTTTCATTCTTTTCACCACTGCTGCTTTTAGTTGTCCTTGCATACTTTCCTTGCTACTTCAAATTTACTCAGTGCCATTTTTTCCCTTCTCTCTGTTTATTTAGTATAGTGGGATTTCTTAAAAGAAAAATAAATTTTCCTTTCCCACGTAAGCAACGTTGTTTTTAATTAACATTTTCCAAATACAGGATTTTGATCTTCTGGGTAGCTAGTGAAATTAGTTAGTAATTCTTAATTGTGACTCATTTGCACTCAGTGGTGTCAGGCCAGGGGACATGACTGAAGCTTTTCACACAAAGGAATTAAAAAATCTGCCCTCTTTCTTTTATGTCTGACCTGTGAGGGTCCAGCTCTCTGATACGTGGTTGAGGAACATTCCTTCCACTGTCATACATTCAGGTTATGCACCAGGATTTACATAATAACCATGAAGGAGCTAAAGCACTTTTTTCTGTATATAAAATAAAATTTGTTGTTATTACCTCTTTATCAAATTCAATGTTTATTTCCTCAAACAAGTATAATTCACAGTTTTGCTTTAAGTTGCATTCTAATTTGTGAAAAAATTCTATTTCCAGAAGAGGTTTTAAAATATGAAGTATCAGGGGTCTCTTACAGTTTCCTTCTTATTCCTCAAGCTTGTTGTCTGATTTTGCACATGATTTTGATGCTGGCACTAAGTATCACTGACATGTAATATACAGATGTGATTTATTTCTTTGTCAAACTACTTTCAGTGCTATTTAGTAATTTCTTATCAGGTGTTTTGTTTCACAGAGAGAGAACTTGTCTATGTAATGTTACTCTTACAGCTTCGTTATTTTTCAGCAGAAACACATTATCTTGGTTTTTTGTGTCTACTTTCTATTACTGTGATACTGATATATCTGTTCCTTATTGTGCTGAGTTCATGATTTGAAGTAATTAGGTGTCCTACAGGTTTATAGAATGCTGCTGATGTTACTGAATATCCAATTTATTTCTTGTTCTTCTGCCCAAAATTTAGTCTTTACTTTCCCCTCAGCATTGGAAGAGCAGTGATTTCCCTGCATGACATTGTAGGGAATTGGGTCTAGCAGAGATGCAATCTAATAAATCATTTGTTTTCTGTCTATTTGTAATTGCTTTCTGGTTGTTTAACAAACCCACCTAAATTTCTGAGACATTTCCTTCCTTCCAGCAGCAACTCTGCATTTTCACAGTATTAAAATCAGCTTTATTCACTGTGGAGAAGTTTCTTTATTTGTACTGGCCAGTGAAATCTTGTCTGGTTTCTAGTTTGGGTTTAAGTTAAATATTTGGCTGCTTTTTACACTGGAGTTGTGGTTCAGTCTGCACTCAAAAATTAGTAGCTGGATTTCAAATCACTGTTCTGGCTAGTTTTGGTTTTGTTGGTTTCTTAAGAAGATTTTTTTTTCCTTTGTTATTTGTTTTCTGAGAGCTTTCTGAAACTGTAGTTTCCTTGGGTTTGTGTTACTTCCTTCAGTATTGTAAATGTTTGCTTCAAGTCTTCCATTTCAGGTATTTTATTCTCAGACTGACATTTCATATTTATCAGTTCTTTCTTAACACAGTCTCCTGTTACAAAATAGAATAAATTAAATAATTAGAAATTATTTTTACTGAACAGATCTGTGAAGCTCTTGAACCTCCCAACCAGTCTCCGACCTCACAAAATGAAAAGTTTACTTGGTCAGAATGTGTCAACCAAAAGCCCTTTCATATATTCTCCAATTATTGCACACAGTCGTGGGGAAGAACGAAATAAGAAAATAGGTAAGAATAATTTACAGTATTTTGTGTTGAGAGAATCTAATTTAATGCAAACCTGAGCATTGCTATCTTTTATTTGAGATAACCATTTCTTTATCCTTAAGTCCTGAAGGAGCAAATATTTTTTCTCTGGGGCACAGTTTCATGTTCAGAAGAGGAATAAATTCTCATAGATAATAACACTGATTTTTCAGAAGAGATAGACTAGTTTTATTTCCTTCTCATACAAAAGAAAATTCAGGGAAAAGTGTGTTCTGACACGCTCTGCTTGGCAGCCACCACAGTCTGAGTGCCCTGAGGAAAATGCACTGTTGTGGTTTTTCCTATTCTGATTTAACTGTGATGAACTGTCTGATTAGTCCCTTTTACTTAAAGGCAGTTCAGCCAAGAAAAAGTTTTTAAATCCTGTTAGTAATATTAGTAATTTTCTTTTTAGGAAGATTATAAAGCCTTTCATGCAGTAATTGTGCCATTGGAAAAAGAATAGAAGTTTGTTTAAATCCTGGATTAAATTACAAATATTGGTAGTTCTTTTTGTGGCTTTTGTGGGTATCACGTGCATGATAATTTTTACCGGAGGCATCAATGTCAGCACGAAAAGGATTTGTGTGACTGTGGAACAGAACTGATTGTAAAAACTTCAGAAATTTGCAGGATGCTTTGTCTTAACTTGGCTTCTTGTTCATCTGGACTGTGCTGGCCTGCAGGACCAGTTTTCTGAGAATCTCTGGTGGTTTGCTCTTTCCAACATTGTGGGCTGTGCCCCTGCTGAGGTTATGATTAAGGTGATATCCCTCACCCTGAGAAGAACATGCATGTTTTCTAGTTGGGTTTTGGTGATGTGCATTTTCAGTAAATAGCTGCAACAGGAACAGTTGGGATGTGCAGAGGCAGGGATGATTATCTGGCAGTTGGGATGCACTTGGCTCAGTGTGACTTTGCTGCAGCACTGCTTCAATTTCAAAAGAGAAAGGATAAGAAATTTAAAAAAGGATGAGAAGAATTAGTTAAAGGATAAATTAAAAAATGTGCACATGGGGGGAACATCTTAAAATGCTCTCTTGATTTCTCTTAATAATTTACTGGAAGTTTGATTACTATTAGATTTTCAACATTTAATCTCTTGGCTATACCATGTCACGTTTTTTTCATTTAAATAAAACCTTACTAGTTTTGTCACACAGTTGTATAATGCAGTATTCTCATTCCTTGATGATACAAAAGGAAGCTGCATTTTTGAACTGGTTAGGATTTGTTTCGGTGCTTTGTGTGCCATAGGAGATTTACATTTTACATTGAACTTTCTTCTTTTAGGTTTTTATTTAGCCTAAGGAGATTCTGATTGCTTCTGATCCTGTACAGCCTTTGTCTTGTGAAGTATATAAACATTGCAGTCACTGCTAAAAGCCTCTCATGTTTCAAAGTTTAGTGAACAAAAGAAAAAGCAAAATAAAAGCAAACACTTCCTTTGAAAGAAGCTGAGAAATTTATAAACTTTGAAAATAATGAGAGTATTTTAATGGCATGCATTTAACATTAATTAAAAACAACAATAACAAATGAACTGTTTTTCTTACATGGAGATAGTACTCCATATTTTGGTTAAATTATTGTTTTACAGCAAAGGAAATCAAGCACTGCTGACAAACCAAAGGGAAACAAAACCCATTTAGAAAGTCTTGAAATATTTTCAGCTTTCAACTTGATAAGCTTTTCTGATTGGAAACAATAACAGGGATAATTATATTCTAGTTAAATTGCTTTAATAGCATGCTAGTCATAAAAAATAAACCTACTGATTTTTGACATGAAATGTTTTGTTGGTTTTGAGTGCTGATAGTCTAAAGCAACAAGAATATATGATATAGTTCTGTTAGTAAATTCAGCAGCTCTGTCATACCTGCATTACCTGATACAAATACAGCTCCTTTTACCTTTCCTTTCAAAACCTTTTCCCCTTAGGAAACAATTCTGTAGCACTGCCCTGGCACATTTTTCACAGGGGATTTCAATCTCATCTCAAAAACCTCCATCGATTCAGACTCCACCATGTCCCTGGGGAGGTTGTTCCACTGAATCACTGTTTTTACTGAAACAAACAAAAAAAAATAGTAAGAAAATAAAACCTGTCTCAGTGCAACTGGTGTCTGTTACCCTTGGTCTTCTTCCTGTGGCTCCTTGTGAGGAATGAGCTTCTGTCCTCTTTATGCAGCCCTTTAATTACTGGAATACTGTGATGATATCACCCCTGAGCCTTTTCTTTCCCCCAGAGAGGATATCTCACTCCTTTACTCTTTCCTCATCAGGAGGGTTCTCCAGTCCTTGGTCACCCTTGTGGTGCTCCTTGGGATCCTCTCCAGCCTGCCTGTGTCTTTGCCAGCTGTGGGCACCACAGCTGGGCACAGCTGTGCCTGGCAAGCACAGGGTGGAGTAGAATGATCACCTGTCCCTCTGCAGTGAAGAAGCAGATGGACTCAGCCCAGCAGGGTGATGAGTGGAGGGACTGGCAGTCAGGGGTAGGCTACAGGTGAAGGATGGAACCAGGCCACTGCACCTACCAGGAGGAAGGTTCCTCCTCCTCCTCTTCTTCAGAATGTGATAAGTAGGACTGGCACCTAAAACAGGGCTGAGGCTCTGGAATGAGAAGGCCAAACAACTGATGAGGTGGCTGAGGGTCCTTCTGGGACAGAGGGTCCTCCTAAAGCAGCATCACCTGGACCCTGCATCCCAACCTCCTCTGTTAGCAGGAGAAGAAGAGTGGTTCTCACAGGAAACTCCCTCCCTTCTAGGGAGAGCAGAGGGCCCCATGTGCAGACCTGACCCAGCTCAGGGGACGTCTGCTGTCTCCCAGGGGCTCAGGTGAGGGACATTACTGGAAAATTCCATTCTAGAAAGACCCTCTGATTACTATCTGCTATTGGTTGTTCAGATTGGCAGCAATAAAAAGAGAGGTCTGAGGCCAATCCAAAGGGACTTCAAGGCCCTGGGACAGTTGGTGGAGGAATCAGGAGCACAGGGAGTGATTTCCTTGATCCTTCCAGTAGCAAGGAATAATATTGATAGGAACAGGCAGCTCCATTAGGTCAATGCGTGGCTCTGAGCTTGGTGTCAATGGAAACAACGTGGGTTTTTTGGTCATGGGGTGATCTATCAACACCTGATGGGATGAGCCTTTCTCAGATGGAAAAAGGAGTTCTAGCACAGGAGCAATGGGGCTCACTGACAGAGCTTTGAATTGGCTTGGAAGGGGGAAAGGGAGAAAACCAGGCTCCCCAGTGATGAGCAATGGGATTTTGTGCCAAACCTTGAGGATCCTGATGGGATCCCTCAATCTGCTTCACCAGGTGCTGGCCACAAGGTACCACACCTGAAATGTTTCCACGCTGATGCACACAGCATGAGGAACAAACACCAGCTGGGAGCTTTGGCCCAGTCCCAGAGGTTTGACATCAGTGGCATAAGTGAAAGGTGGTGGGATGAGCCCTGTGCCTGGAGAGCCCTGTTGGATGGCTGTGCTTTTGGAACAGGCATTGCACAGTGTGGTGATTGCTAGAATGTGGAGATCCAGGACTGCAGTGCTGCTGTGCTGCTGCAGGTGCCTCTGTTGCTGTAGTAAACCATAATGGTTAACTCTGTACCTGTGCAGAGCAGTCACTGGGTGTTAGGGGCCTGCAGAATGCCTAAGACATCATGGACACTAATAAGCAATTAAATATGAAATGTAGAGAACATCTCATACCACTGTGAATTTGAATGTTTTGTTTTAATCAACAGTTTTGCTTTCAGGTTTCACAGTAATATAGCCCATTAACATCTGTGGATGTATGTGTTTAATTTCCACTAGCATTAATTGGAGTTAAACATTTGCATTAAGTACATCTCCCTTGAGCTCTCTAATATTGCTTGCAAAATGTAATCAGATAGTAAATGATTGTGAATGTACAATTAGAGTACAGATTGCTTCAACTGTACATTAAAGTCTTAATATTGATAACACAGTGTTTTTTACTGGACATTTCCTAATATCCTAGTAAAAAACTGTTAGCAATGTATGTTAAAATCATTGGGTAAACTAGTAAGAACTAATCCGTGTATGTTATAATTTAGCTTATAATCATGATTTATTTAAAAATGTAATTAAATCACCTTTTGTTTACTTGGACTGCACATTCTCAGCTTGCAGGGAGAATCTTGCTGCATTTAGTTTAAAGTCTGAACTTCAGGTGCATGTGGTTCACTGTGAGAAATTTAGAACGTAGGCACAATGAAGTGCTGATATAAAATAATCTTTCTGCATTGAACAATTACTAAAAATTTGCATCTCTGCTCCTGACCTCCATATTCTCCCACAGAACCACAGAATTACAAAATGGTTTGGCTTGGAAGGGACCTTAAAGATCATCAGTTCCAACCTCCCTTGCCATGGGCATGGACACCTTCCGCTAGTCCAGCCTCGTCTCCTTAAATTATAAAACTCAAAAAATATTAAAATTGGCAGAGTGAAGTATCTTTAATGTTCAACCTGTCTTGTGTAAGTTCGAAACTGCAAGTTCATCTTTTTACCTGGCCCACTTTTACTTCACTGTCTCTTTATTTACTCCATATAATCAGCTGTGTCTATATGAGGACTTGTGTTCATTTCTTACCTGCTTGATTCTTATCCAATATCAAGGCCATGTGTACTCTACATAACTCCAAGTATGGAAACCTTTAAGTGTTGGAGGTAAAGATTGAGTTGAAGTAGTTTTGAATTGATGCCTGAGTTAATTTTGCCAATGAAGCACTGGGTCTTTAGAGCACTATTGCTGTGTTAATGAATGTTTCCAGTCCCTTAACCTATTGCTTTGCCTGGGATTTACAGCTGGTATCACACAATGCTGTTGAGTAGGATTTGAGCTGTGCAGATTATAGAGAGATATTAAGCATTATAACAATCTGACAGCTCAGATGCTGCTATTCTTTTATAACCCTATGATTAGGTAATTCCTGCCTTAATTCTGTGATTATTCCTTGCAGACTTCCAGTGGGTGCAGGGAGATGTGTGTGAAGTTCAGTTGATGGTGTACAACCCTATGCCTTTTGAGCTCCGAGTAGAAAACATGGTATGCATCTTTCTAATCTTCTCTTTCTGCTGTTTTTCTGAAGAAAAACACTTGGACTTTCAAATATGGTTTTGTATAAATATTCTTAAAAGATGGTTTAAGCCAGCATAGCCTCAGTTTAACAGTGTGATATTGTCAATTTTCTCATATTTTTGGTGATGAGATACTGAAAAGAAAAATCTCTGCCACTCAAGAGTGTTTAAATGCTTTACTGGCAGTGACCCATAAGTGAGTTCTGTACAATTCTGCATTGAGTAGAACTCCTGCTACATGATTTACATAGACTGGTTTTCAAGTAATAATTATAAACTGAAACCTTATAATTATTGTACACTTGCTACTGTCGTTTAAAAGTCCGCATTCAGCCTTGCTTTTCAGATTCCCATTTTGACCACAATTTAAAAACCTGATGAGCTAAAATAGTTAGGTCTGAGAAGGTTTGGGTTTTAATAAAAGCTTCAGCTCATGGATTTGTTCTACCAGTGGTATATGTTATTTGAAAACATTGTAATGTCAGGTGATCAGAAGGGGGTGATAAAAAAGGCTAAACCACTGGAGAAATATGTGAGGTTAGAAGGATCAAGCCCAAGCTCTCTGCTACTTCAGCTGGCTGCTTGAAGTGTATCCTGAAAAAAAGGAAATTGTGTTTTTTTTTTTCTTTCTTCATTCCAACTGACAGGATTTTAAAAAAAATGTTGTCCATTTAAAGGTTAAAAGTTCTGTAGCTACCAGGCCAACTTAATATCCACTCAGTCCTAATCCAGCATTTTCTTTGTATTAAATATTTTTACCTTTAGTATTGCTGTAAATATAAATCACATCTCTTGGAGCCCTTTGTTCCGTCAAACTAATTGAATCAGAGTACATTTATTTGCTTGTGATTTTTGTTTGGGTTTTGCTTTTATTGATATGTCTACTGCAGTGTCTAGTCAAACAAGTTGACCTAAATTACTGATCATAAACCACATACAATAAAGTGTTTTTCCATGAGAAGGAAACGTGCCCAAAGATTTTGTTCCCATAGCACAATAAAATTAATTCTTGCAAACTAGCATGCCAGTTTCTCCAGCAGCATTTTCTCTCACCCTCACAGAGGTACTCAAATTTTTTAGGGATTAATAGAAAAACTAGTTGTAAAGCTGCACATCAGAAAGGTCTCTGTGGGAATTAATTGATTAAGAACATTTTGATTTACAATCTAATTTGTATTGTGTAAGTAATGATGTTGTTATATATTTAAAAAAACTTGGAAAATTGTCTACTCAGGAAATTCCTTCTATGTGGTTACATGTACTCAAGAACTTGCAATGCATTTGAGCAGATCTGGACAACATCCATTCCCTGAGCAAATTAATTGTAGTAGCACCAATACTTCTCCTTACTGTTGCTGTGATAAAGTTCTGTCTTGGAATTAACACTGAATTCCAGTTCCAATGGTAGGCACAAGAGGAGTTAATTTGCCAACGAGATACAAATCATTGAAGTGATTAATGCCACTCTTTAGTCAGTGCTTTGAGAAATTCTGCTCTTCACTAATGTGGGCTCACTTGGACAAAATGGTTGATTTTGGTAGATTTGTATCTTGATCAAGACTGTAGCGAGTTGTGGAAAGTGCTTGTTCCCCTTGATTTAGAATTTTAGAGCCAATATTTTTTTTTTTTTTGGAACTGAGGCCAGTTGGGAGCTCCCCAAATGACAAAACCACTGACATCTGTTCAGTCTGTAGAGGAGAAGAATATTGGGGTAATTTCTGCTGCTGTGCTGAATCCCAAAATGAGAAAGTGCAGCAAAACCAGAGTTGGGCTCTTCCCAGAGGTGCCCAGGGTAAGGATGAGAGTCAGGGAATGTGCTGCAGCCATGGGAAAGTTCCCTCCCTAATAAAAACTCTCTTTTCCCAAGCATGAGGGGGATCACACACTGGGACTGCTTGTCCAGAGAGAACCTGAGACCTCCATCTTTAGAAATCTTGAAAACCTGAGTGAACAGGATGTGAAAAACCTAAACTACCACCAGAGTTACCCCTGTTTTGAGCACTGGGCTAAACAAGATGACTTCTACCCTTTCTTTCCAACCTAAGTTGTTGATTTTCCAGTCTCATCTGTGAACTTTCTGGAATGTGGGAATAGGTATTACTTTATCATAGGAATAAACTCTTCTGTTTTCATTTTAATAATTCAGAGTGCTGGTTAATATTTTAAAATGGTGTGTTTTATTATTAACATGTACTCATGCCTGCAGTCCCCATATCCTTTTCTTGTCTGATTTCTCATCACATATCCTATTCTTTCAGATTATTTACTCTCACAGACTCAGTTTCATAGCAAGTGTAACTTTTCTGTCATTTAGTGGCAATTTCAGCTTGTTTTTCTCATATTTTTCCTCCTGCCTGACTCAGCACCTCACCTTTGCAGGATGACTGCTCATTCAGGCTTGTTTGCAATCATCATTGAGTTCTCCATTGCTTGGTTTAATTTTTCTTTGTCCTTTCCATGGTCCAGCATTCACCAGTATGTACTGTAGTGAAATCTACAGTCCTATTTAGTTTTTTGAAATTCCCCACTTTTCCTCAATTTAGATTTGTTGTTCTGATAAATTTAACGCTAAATGAAATCCAGGCTTTTGCAATGGTGCTTTTCCTACTGTGTCTTTGTGTTTGTTGGATTTCTGTTGTGATGGTAAACAACTTAGCACTGAGCACAGGTTGTTAAAGAGAGTGATTCCCAATGGAAAGGCTTCCTGAGCTTTTTCATTAATTGAAGTATTAATGCTGAGTCCATGTAGGTTAATTGAGGTGTGCTTAAGTAAAAGGCATTGAATTTCTAGACTTGACTTGAGTCTGGACACAGGACTTTGATTAGTGTTGCTCCGATGATAAACCCTGAACAATTGATTTTCTTTATTTCGTTATATTGTTCTCAAGGATCTTGGCCCATCTTTGTTGTTTTTACTGTTAATTTCCTGTCATGAATATTCCTGATTTGGGACTCTAATTAGGTACCTATTCTTCATTTCTGCCCCATTTCTGTGTTCCTTTTCTGTCTTTTTCTATTTCATGTTTCTGTTTTGTCCATAGAGTTAGAAGGCTGGTCCAATGAAAGGTGCATTTGTAAAATTACAAATGAAAATGTTCAGTCATGGAGCATGGAAGTGATTAGCTCCCACAGTTGTGTGAGTCAATAAAGTGAAATAGGAGAGATCTTGGGGTTGATCAGAACAAATGCTTTAATAAAACTCAGCAGGTACCTTAAATCAGCAGAATGAGAGACAAAAATGAGCCTAACCAGAATTGGCTGTGATGGATTAGACAGAATGTTCTTGCCATGCTGGGGTCCAGGTCACCTGGAGAAGGGATGTTCATCTGTAAATAAGTGCCACCACTTTGCCTTTTCTGCCAGGAGTATTGATTTCTGTACAGAATTGTTCAGGTATGTGAGTGATGGCCTCGAGCCCTTTTGCAGTTTGTTCTGCAGTTACTGCCATTATTGCAGTTTTCTATGCAGGAAAAAAATGGTCTTCACGTTTCAGGCCTTCAAAAAAAATCCAAAAAATTCTGGGAAATCTCAACTGGATTTATTTTGTATCTTGAGACAAATGCTTAAAGCAGCAAACCACAGTACAGTCTGGGGAAATCTACTACTAAAATACATATGAAGATGCTTTGTAAAATGTTAGGTTCTCTAAGATTTTAACTACTTTTTCATCTTTGTTTATCAAGTTTCCTATTAAAAGCAAAAAAAAAAAAAAAGCTGAGAAATTTTGAGGTAATGCTATGTATTGAGGGAAAGCATTTTCCCTGCTCTTACTGTGGAAAGTACAGCCATAGTTCCAAGAAAGCTACAAGATCTACAGACAGTGTAAACTGTATTTAATAAATAAATATCAAGAAACAAAAAAATGCTACCCTAACCCACAGAAACATTGCAATTTATAATACTTAGTCATTATTCAAGGATTAAATATTTGTTCTGCAGTTCTCCTTCTGTTTGGGACCTGTATTTAATTGAACACAATCAAGTGGGGTATTTTGATTAATGATCCTTTAAGAATGGCCATTGCTCTTTTTTTTTTTAAACTTCAATACTGTGCTATTAGTCAAGAGTTTTATGTTTAAAAAGAACATCTAAAATTTTGATGAATCTGGATGTATAATTGCTTATGATGCTTTAAATTGTTTCCATGAACTGCTCTTTCCTGAGTTCACATCTTCTGCTGTTTCTGCTGCCCTGAGAGAATATTTACTTACTGCTACACTACATTTAGTGGAGACTGCATTAGTCAAGAATGTACACAGAAAGGTGAAGGGGAAAAAGAATAAAAATGTTTTTGTTTGATGTTTTTCTAGGTCTGCCTAAAATAACCGTATTAGAAATAGTAGGGAAAATTTCCTTTAAAATAAATATTTGACAGTTTTTGTGTAAAGTATTTGACAGCATGGCATACAAGTATATTCAGCATGGAAACTTAACTTTGGAGGTCGTGTTACTTTAAAAAAAGAATGATTGCATTTTGGGATTGGTAAGTAAAACCTAAAAAAAGCAGTTACATACTCATGTTATTTTAACAGCATCCCCAAATGCTGCCATTTACATGCAAGTTGTTTTGTTCCTCTAAAACTAAAATGAGATTTGAAGTGATTGAAAGACATGCTGTGATAAAAGCATGCATACATTCACTCTAAGACAATTTAAATTGTTTTATAAGAATACAAAGAAATGTAAACACTTCTTTGTGTGTGTGTGACTCATATATTCCCTGGAGGAAACCTTGGATTTGAATGATATTTTCCTATAGGGTCAGAAAGAGAAATTATTACCAAGTGATGACTAAATGATTACTAAGTATTACTACTTGAAATAATGTATAAAACTCTCAGGAAAAGAAATCTAACACAGTTCCCTACTTTTGGTGGTGTGGCTGAAATATTTTAGTTAATGGATGTGAGAGTAGTTCAGCCTTGATCAGTTTTCAGTGTTAAACTGCAGAACTTTAGGCACCAGAGGGCAATGTTGGGCAGATATTGCAGAATTGTCTGATTCAGCAAGTTGCTATCTTGAAATCGTCTTTCAGACATTCTAAGATATTGTCACTGTCTTCTAAAACTCACTTGTGTGGCCTAAGTTTTAAGGGTAAGTATCTTGATTTAAATTTATGTCTGGAAATCTGAAGTCTAGTTCATTTTTTTTCCCATTTCAATGAGTTTTAATGCTTTTGTAATGTCTTTTCCTTTTCAAAACTTAGCAGTTTTACTGAACAGTAGAACTCTGAAAGTGGGGGCATGGACTGATGCTTTCTTGTTTTTGTACTAAAGCTCTTGAAGTTCTTCAATTTCTAGTCCAGGTATAGTGTGTGCTTGGTGCAGATGTTTTGGCATTTACATTGTGTTTGTTCTCAGAAAAATCCCTTTATTTTCAAGGTTTGCATTACATATTAGAGAATATTTAGGGGTTCCTGTCAGTTTTGTTTATTTACATTTGCTACAGCTGATAGGAAACAAGATATTGGAGGGTTTGGGTTTTTTTTATCACTGATTTTGCAGGACTTTAAATCCTTGGATGAAAGTTTTTAGTTGGGATGAATCCTGAATAATTCAAATATATTTGAGTATTAGGCCAAGTGATAGATTGGTGGTTTTGAGACTAAGTAAAGTTTAAAAGCTTTCTATACTCATTTTAAAAGTGAGTTGTGGATTGTGTATGGGGTCACCTTTTGTTTGTGTTCTAAGATTTGCTTCAGCCAAAGCAAAAGCAGCAGAATTGTAGTGAAAATTGAGGCTACATCAGTGTTAAAGGAAGTATGTTCATCCCATTTCTGTGGGGTGAATCCCACTGGAAGGATTAATGTGGGAATCAAAAAGTCCCAGTGCTCTGATACACTGAGTGGTGAATATACAGAAAGACAAAATTAGGTTTTACTTGTGCTTTTGTGGATTCTTTCTGACAGCTGAAGTCTCCATGTGAAATGGGAGGAAAATGAAAATTCAGTAGAAATGAGGCTGTGGCAGAATATTTGCTTACAGCTCAAATAAAATGGTGAAATGGAATTTTGTGCAGTCTCAAGGACAGAGTTCTCTAATGCAGCTTTCCACAAAGCCAGAGCAGCTTTGGGTGAATTAGGTGTTGTCTCAAGAGTGTCAAGTCTACAAAGAAGTAATTGGTAGAGCAAAGATTTTACAGATTTTGGGTATGTTGCATTTTTTTCTGTGGCTCAAACTGGGAGTTTTTCCAGTTCTATTCACAAAAGTAGTTTGTTCCTCTTTAACAGGGTTCTCAGTTCTCATGAAGCATTCACACAGAGTTGAGATTTAATCCAGTTGTGCTTACTGCTTTTATTGATGGAGGTCTTTGTAGCATCTTTATTCAAAAATAAAAATGAATATGTGTATAGAAAAACAACGGGTAACTTGGATTTATGTGCTTTGCAAAATCAAATTTACTTTTAGCAGCACATTCTATGCTCAAGCATCTCTATTTCATTAACCAAGCTTGAAGAAAACCCCCAATCTACTAAAAACAGTAATGCTGTGTTCAGAAATTTCTTCAATGATTTTTTTTCCGCTTCATTTCTTGTTTTGTCCCATGTTTTAAATTTAGGATGCTAAAAGATTTCTCTGACACTAAGGGAGTAACTGCAGGCATTTAGGCTTGAGAGGATCAGTTCAGCAAAATGAATGCATTATTCCAACTCACTGAAATGTTGAGGTTGGATGGTTAAGCTAGACTTCCTCTGTTATCTGTAAACACAAATGTATTTTTTTTCCTCTTAGAAAAAATAGTTTGGCCAGGTAATTAGAGCTAAGCAAGATCTGCTATTGATGTTTGATTTTCACTGCCCAAAATCTATCAAATATTCAAGTTAAAGTCACAGGTACAATTAAATATAGGTACAAAACAGCACCGTGCAGGTGATATCTGTAATTTTTTTTTAACTGTTCTTGGGTATAAATTTTTATTAGTTTTTCATGTATCATTCCCAGCTCAGTTCCTGAAACACGTTTCCATGTTGAATACAAATCCTGCTTTAATTCTGGATGCACGCTGCAGTCACTGCAACTTAAACCCCGAAATAACTGCTATGAGTAAATTGGAATAAATCATAAAAGTTTGGCTGATGTAATGCATGGGATTAAAATACAAGTATGTAGAATGAAAATGTAAGTGTACATCATAAATGGATTTATCTGTGTAATGTGTTTTTTCAGGGTCTCTTGACAACTGGAGTAGAATTTGAGTCTCTCCCTGCTGCCCTGTCCCTCCCTGCAGAATCTGGGCTCTATCCCGTGACTCTCGTTGGTGTTCCCCAAACCACGGGGCAGATCACTGTCAATGGTAAGGGATGGCTCCACTCACTCTCTGCTGCCACAACAGCCTGAGTTTTACACCCCTGTGGCTTGCCTGGCTTTGTTTGCCACGTGTGTGTTCACCACTCTAAATTCTCTTCAGTAAGTAAAAGAAAAAAGAAAAATAGGGAATCTGTTTCCTGTACCAGGCTTCATTAAAAACAGCCTGATGAATCACTTGGTTGCAGCAGCAGTAACGAGCACATTCTTGGAGTATCTCATGTGTGAGAGGATGGGGATAATGAACTCCAGCTCCCCTTTATTAATGCTTTCATTTGGAAAGCTTCTAAGGAGGATTATTTGAACTTTTTTCTTGAGAATGCAGAAGATAATCTTGCAGGGTTTTTTTTTTCCTTAATTAATCGTGTTCATGTAAGATTACAGAAATTTTTGCAGATTGCTTCCGTGGAAACAATTTAGCCAGGGTGTATGACCTGTTGCAGTCAAGATATCATTTCATTAATAAGACTAAATAAAACTGTGTTTGTAGTAAGGAAGAAAATTAAAGAGCTTTTACAGAAGACTAGCAGACCTAGAAAAGGAGGCATATGTGGAGAGGATGGATTCAACATGTAGTAGGAGTGAATCATCTTACCAAATCACATTTTTAAATATGTCTTCCTGGAATGCAAAATTAGGATACAGGATAAGAACCACTTTAGTAAAGCTAAGCACTAAAAGAAGATGGCTTTGAACTTGAAGAAGCTCTGTTCTCTGAGTTTTTCTTAAGTGCTTTTGTGTCTGCTCATAAAACAATTTTTCATGTGATTTTTTTTTTTCCCCCAGAAACAATTTCAGTAAATACAGAATAGCATCAAAGCATTCAGAACATTTGTACTGTAGTTGTCTCCTTTGAGCTCCACATACTAAAAATGTATTGCAAGTAGAGGAGTTGATTTCTGTACTTGGCAGGTTTTTGTGTGTCAATGTATCAAATTTTCCTTCAGATACAACTCATAAATATTGCCTGGTAAGGAATCAGTGGGGAGGTATTTTTCTACGAAATTGAACTTTCAGAAGTTGTGGTCTTTCATGGCAGGTGTCTGTGTTTATGCATACTTATTTTTTCCATTAATAATGTCCTTTAGGATTCTTTTATCCTTCTGGATGCAGTTGAGAGTCTTTCCTATAAACATTTTTCTGAGGAAATAAGGAACGTGTGTTGAAGGTTGACATGTTTTATGTGCACCAGTGAATTTGGTGATGAGTTGTAAAATGGTGTCCATTATAACTTGTGATATTGATCTTGTAAAGAATTCTGCAGAAATTAACTGTGATGCATTGTAGAAATCAGAGTCTCTTTACAATTTCTTTTATTTTACATGCCACAGATGCAGAGGTGAACATGTGTTGTTTGTACATTGTCAGGTACTTATAAATGTTGTTATTTCAGGGGTTTGAAAGTCCTGTACATATTATGTGTCCTGAGAAGATTTTTCTATAGAGAAGGTGGTGGTTTGGGTAGCAGATACACTGAAAAGATCTGACCAGTAAACTTAGTACTTTTAGACCTGCCAGGAAACAGTAAAATTCACAACATAACTGGTGTTTTCTTTTAAACCTCAGGTTATCATACTTCAGTTTTTGGAGTCTTCAGTGACTGCCTTCTGGACAATCTGCCAGGAGTGAAGACCAATGGCTGCACTGTTGAAGTCATTCCAGCTTTGCCAAGGTTGCAGATCAGCACCTCCCTTCCAAGGTGAAAAATTAAATTAAATGATAATTTTATTTGGTCATATTTAAATGTTAGTCATATGTTGAATAAAAGCTCTTCCACATGAGTGTATCATCAATGCCTGGGTAAAACAGGACATAATCTAAATCTGTGTTATTTGCTTTAGAATGCCAACCTGAGTTTTTTGTTTTTCTGCTTGAAACCATGGAATTTCATAGAAATATGCAGAAATAATTTTGCAGTATTGTTGTGCTCAAAAATTTGGTTTTGGGCAAAGAGGGATTATCAAGCCAAGAATTCACTGTTTATATCTTAACAATCCAGTCCAGGCATCAGTGTTAATTCAGATCAATTATGACAGAAGAAATAAAAAGTAGGAGAGAAAAATATGCAGAAGAAATCACTAATGAATACATGTAGATTTATACAGTAACTGAAAACATGATTTGTTTTGCTTTTTGGTATGCAATTCCATGATTCTTTTATCTCAATATGAGGGGGAAAAATGAAATTTCTTCGTCCTTTTCACTCCACACGCCCAAATTTCAGAGCCCTGAAATGCTAGCAGTACATGGCAATACATTCTGAATGATCAGAAAATACTTTTTGAAGTCCTTGTCACAGATCTGTTCTGAAAGACTGAAATCTGCTCCTGTTTGTGAAGGCTGCTTGTCTTGTCTTGTGGTAAGGAAGGACAGGATCAAAGGGAAGGATGGCAGGAATACCTGCAAAAAGAAGTGGAATTATTGGTCATTAATCTCAGTAACTTTGTCCTTGTATCCTTGATGTCTTCTGACCACTCTGCATTAGCACAGGAAATACAGTCAGGAATGGAACCTCTGCCCATCTGTCTTGTTCTGCAACCTCCTTCCCTCATTTATGCTCCACAGAGTTCATTTCTAGTCACTGTTTCACCTTTCACACTGGGAATTTTTCCCAGGATCCAGTGCTATGAGGTTTGGGCCCTGCACTGTCCACTAAACCTGCTCATTGCAGTGACCTGCTCTTGATTTTTTTTTCCTTTATCCTTCCTTACAGTTTTTGCAGGTAATTTAACAAACTTTCAGAGTTACAATATGTATTCTGTATTGTTTGAAATCTGACTTGTCTTATGCATAAATTATTAATTTGTGTCCTCAATGGTTCGAAAAATGGGACTGGAAAATGGTATCTAGTATCTTCAGCAGTTGTTTCTGAGTCTTCCAAGAATAGTGAATAGAGTAACCTGGACAGGCTTTTAACATTTTCATCATAATAATTTGTTTGTCACTTCTTGTAGGTCTGCTCATACACTTCAGCCTTCTTCAGGGGATGAAATCTCCACTAATGTGTCTGTCCAGCTGTTCAATGGAGAGACCCAGGAGCTCATCATTAAATTAGAAAATATTGGAACAGAACCATTGGAGAAACTGGAGGTGACAGCAAAAACAGTCAACACCAAGGGTGTGTATGCTGATTTATATTTGGAAATAATCATGCTGACTTCTTCTCTGTTAAAATAAGAGATTATTTGTGTTATACTTCTTTTAGGCCAGTTTAGAATAAATATCATAATTCCCATTACAGAGCTGAAATAATTCCGTTTGATTTTATTGTCAGAATATAGAAATGAAAGATAATGTAAGAAAATGGAAATTGTAGAACTGTCTGTGTGTTAAAGGGTAACCTGCTTTTTGGAAATCTAGATTTAATTTTAGTGTTCCTTAGGGAAAAAATCCTGAGGCAATTACTTGTAAAGAGGAAGAACCTTGGGTCTAAATTATTTTCTCCTTATGTCTAAATATGCTGATTAGTTAATTAAATAAATTACTATTAGCAGTAATGTTGTCCTACTTGAGGGAGTGGAAGTAAATAAGCTTGTTTCTATCTCACTCAGTGAGCAGTAAGAAAAAAAAATGGAGAGAAGACTTTAAAAGACAAGACAATAAATAAAATAAGCTATTGTGAGTTAAAAGAATAATTGAAGCTCTGGATGAAATACAGCACATCCCCTGTGTACACTTAATTCTCTTGAAATACTCTGTCCATGTTAGTATTAAAAAGTAGTCTGATAAGTGAATCCTGCTTTTGTTTTGTGATGTATTTTTTTTTGTTTGTCCTCTGAGGGATTGTTATGAAAATGATCTTAACAGAAGTACAGCAGGTGACAAGCAGCATAATCTTTACTGACAGTAGAAATACCTTATTTTATTGCAGGTTTTATTCTGTCAGTGCCAGAGCATTAAAATGCAGTGTGATACCTTGTGATTTCTGTTCATTTCAGTATTCAAGCTCGTGATTTTTTTATAACAGAGTATCCCCTTCTCCACAACCTCAGAGAATAGGAGTTGCCAATCATCTCAAAATAGATTTTGGGTCTGAGACTTGTTACCAGGAATAATTTTAGGAGTTGAAATGTATGATGACTTACTGTTCTTATTTCAGAAATTCCAACATGCTCTCCTCCTGGGCCAGGGGTGCATGTATGGAATGGAGAGGCCAAATACAGCACTCAGGTGAAATGGAGAATTTTTTTGTATTAAATAGTGGAATATATAGGCCTGTGAATCACATGTTAATCAGAATTTTTCTACATAACATTACACAGTTAATGGGTTCACAATGTTGAAAAAGAGATTCATATCAACTTTAAAACCACCATCTCTCCACGACAACTTTTGTTAAAACCTGAGGGAAAAAGGAGAGATGAGATAGACTTTTAATTGTACTTCATCTTGTATTTTCTTTCTCTATAGAAGATGTTTACGATGAAGGCCCTTTGTGTATCTGACAGTGTATTAAATGCTATTAGGCATGATAATTATCTATCAGAAAAAGGAAAATTTCTGATGAGCAAGCTATAAGCATGCATACTCAAAAAATGCAACTTAAATCCCTATCTCAGAAAAACAAGTGAGTTTTGAGAGGCACTGAATGGTATTTTTTTCTGACACTGTGAGAACTCTGCCATCAGAATCATGCAATCAGAAATGTCTGTGAGGGCAGGGATCTCTAGAAATCATCTTAACCTTCTTTTGAAAGTAGAACTTTAGGTGATCCAGGGTCCTGTCAAGCAGAATGTTCAGTTTCTTGTGTTGTCTCACAGAAGTGAAATGCACTCCTGTATTTGGAGCTGTGTGCTTGAAATGAGTTGTGTTATTGGAGGAAAAAATCCCCTTAAGTATGACTTTTTAAATGACTGTGCTGTGGAAACAAGGTAAGCACTGGAAAAGGCTGTCCATGGCAGAAGAATTAATGATCCACATTAAGCATGCAATAATGATATTATTTCAAATGTGATTGCATGGAGGTGTTGCAGGGTATCACAGAATCAGTCACTGAATGGTTTGGAGGGGAAGGGACCTTAAAGGCCTTGGACTTCCAGTTCTCCTGCCATGGGCTGGGACACCTTCCACTATTCCAGATTGCTCAGAGCCCCATCCAGCCTGGCCTTGAACACTTCCAGGTATTGGGACAGTCACAGCTTCTCTGGGAAACGTGTGCCAGAGCCTCACCACCCTCACTGTAAAGAGTTTCTTCCCAATACTTAAGCTAAACCTGTCCTGTGTCAGTTTGAAGCCATCCCCCCTTGTTCTGTCACTACATGTCGTGTCCAAAGTCCCTCTCCAGCTCTCTTGCAGCTCCTTTGGGCTCTGGACAGGGCTCTAAGATCTACCCAGAGCCTTCTGTTCCCCAGGATGAACAACCCCAGTTCCCTCAGTCTTCATAGCAGAGGTGATCAACTGTGATCAACTTAGTTGCCTCCTCTGGACTTTTTCCAACAGATCTTTCTTGTGTTGGGGGTGGACCTTTGCCTCTTTTCATGGGCTCTCTTCCATTTTAGTTATGACCATAAATTGATAGAAATGCATGAGGCTGGGCTGGCAGTACCATGAGATGGGATTCTGATGATCAACAGGGAACTAAAGTAATGTCATCAGCTTCATTTGGTCAGTGACTACATGCATGGAACTCATGGGGATATGACATTAAACCATCTCTAACAGCAACACAAACTCTTGGTGTTACACATCAAGTTGAGAGCATGTGCCGGTGTCAGTAGTGTATTAAGAAGTTGTCTCTTGGTTGTTTTGTGCTACTCCTCCCTGAAATGTGCCTGTTCAAACTGCTCAAGATCTTGCAAGCTGGTGGTCACCTTCATTTGCCTGACCACAGCTTGCCAGTCAGCTCAGGACCCCATGAGAAGCTGTTGGCCACTTCCAGCCAAATACAAAGAGCTTTCAGTCAACCTTTGTTACACCTGATTTCCTTTGGTTCTTTTTGTCTTGGCAGTTGCTTGTGAATGTCTTGCAGCTGCTGCCTGCCTGACCCATTTCCCTGCTTTCTGTTTCTGGAGCCACAGCTTTTAGCACAGAGATGTGTGCTGTAAATGGCAGACATTCTCTTTTTCACTGTTGTTGGATTTATAGCCAGTCACTTGCCTTGAGGAAGCCAACTTCTGTGCCATTGCTTTGAGTGGTGTCATGTTAATGGGAACCTCTGGAGGTAAGGCTTTCACACTTGCCTGCCCTTACTTCTCTTCTGTCACTATCAGGTGCAGCTCTTTGAGTTTTCCAGTCTGGCCCTCAGATAAATAAGAACTTGCAGCTCCCCCTGTGCAGTTCACAAAGGACATCACAGGGTTTTGAGTCCTTCAGCAGCCCTGTGTTATGGAACAGATCCTGAGGCAGATCAGCAAGAGGGACTTGTCATGCTGCCACAACAGACGTGTCTGTCATGGCTTTTAGTGGCTAACTGCACCCCTGAGCCAGGCTGGAGCATCTGTGGGTTGGACATCACATGTGCACTGTCAGGGTCAGCTTTGTGTCACCTTACATGTCCCTCACCGGGTCAGACAGTGTAATCCTTTTTTTGGAAAGATGACCTGTGCAGAGCTGGATGCCTTCCCTTTGGCTCCAGTCAGCTCTTGTTAGAGGTTTATTGTGTCTCAGACAGGGAGTGCAGTCCAAAGGCTTTGATTAAACCAACTATTTGATCCATTCAGAGTCAAATATAACCCTGGTGTTTTCAAACCTGAGACTTGAGGGGAGCCCAAAAGGCAATCTTAGCCCAAGTGGTGAGCCCAGCTACACACACTGAGTCAACCTGGATGAAGGAAAATCCTCACTTTCCTGGAAGTGACAGACCTCAGGAATTTAAACACAGAGAAACAGGTTCACCTGTCCAGCTGTATTCTTCCCATGGCCTTGGAATACATCCGCCAGACCACAAATGAAAAATCTGCTCTGAGGTTCAGGAAGAACTGTGAATATCCAGGATAGATCTATTTATCTTTTTTTTTTACTGAGGAAAACTTTGTAAATTCTTTCAAATTGGAGTTGGGTTATTGTGGTGGGTTGACCCTGGCTGGATGCCAGACACCCATCAAAGCTGCTCTGTCACTTCCCTCCACAAATGGCCAAAAAAGAAGAAAATATAGTGAAAGTCTCATGAGTTAAGATCCAGGAGAGAACACTCACTGATTACTGTCACAGGCAAAACAGACTCACCTTGGGGATAGTAATTGAATTTTATTGCTAACAAAATTGGACAGGATAATAAGAAGTAAAATATATCTTAAAAACACTTCCCCCCACCACTCCCTCTTCCCCATGTTTTCCATCCTGTCCCACAGTGGCACAGGGAGGTGGGGATGGGGGTTGCAGTCAGTTCACCACACCTTGTTCTGCTGTTCAGGGAGAGGAGTCCTTCCCCTGGCCCCCCTGGGCTGCAGGGGAATCTCAGCTCTGGCACCTGGAGCATCTCCTGCCCCTCCTTCTCCTCTCTCCAGATCTTTGGTGTCTGCAGAGTTGTTCCTCACATATTCTCACTCTCCCTGAACACAATTACTTCTGTGCAATGACTTCTTTCCTTCCTAACTGTGTTATCACATTGGAAAGAACACAGCAAGTCCTGCAGGTTCATTTCTACCTAGCAGGTCTAGGAGAATTTAAAATGCATGAATGCCAATGCCTGTGCATTTAGAACTGATAGTTATTTTGGGTTTATAAAATAAACTAGAGCAAAAAGCCCGATTTACCAAGGGATTTAAGATGGAAAAGAATTGGGGTTCTTGTGTTCTCAAAAGACTTTTGTATCCAGCTTCTCTATGCAAAATGTCAGTGTGGGCTTTTTCTTTGGCAGACCTTAAAATCTTTTAAAAGTTAGATTTGCCTAGGATGACCCAAAGTTAGGTTCTGGGTAAGCTTTTACATGATATTTGTTGGGATTTTAGTGATTTAGTACCCAGTAAAATGAAACAGGTTGCTATTTAAAACTCCTGGTAACAATTGCTTGTAACTTAAGATGATTGCTAAGCACAGATTTTGGACTTGAGAAAGAGCTGAATGCAGGCTTGCCCCAATTTAGCCTTCCACTGAACTGTAAAGTCTGAAGCCAGAGTATAATTCACTGTAATACTGATTACTGAACAAGGTCAACATTGTTAAACTATAACCAAGTGTCAGATAAATATAAATTAGCTGTTTCTCTACATCTACAGCTTAGCTTTTAGCTCAAGCATTTAGATCTTGTGTTGTAATTACTGGTGTTAATTAGAAAGTATCTGCAAGGGCTGTTCTCACTTCAAAAGTCTTTTCACTTGTAATGTCTTCAAATAAATCTCTTAATGAAAACACATTTTGGAAAGAGTTGGCTGCTCCACTGCTTGGGATGTGTCCTTCTTTGTTTACAATGTGGGAGAACACTCCTTTAGCATATTGAATTTTACTTAACAGGTAAAGGGGATAGAGATTGCCATACTTATCAATTTACTTTTTTTCTTGAAAGTAGAAGAAAATAATCAGAATGGTGATATGGTTCCAGCTAAATCATTTGGTGAGGTGGAGGTGAGTTTAAGGAAACAATTTTTGGGAGGATTTTTTATTTTTATAAAGAAATCTATGCTATTGATTTGATGGGGAGAGACACAACACAACATCTGGTGGTCTGTGAGAAGAATATCTTTCAGGGAAAGCTTTTATTGTTTGGGTAGAAGTTAATAGAAAAATATTCTCTTTGTTTTCTCCTTCCCTAGAAAGGGAAACCAAAGGTTTCTGTGCAAGTCAGCATGGTTTGGACATAATCTGGAATTCTGATTGCTGTTTCTGAAAGATCCTTTATTCTAGGTTGTAATATCTGCCCACCCCGTTCCCTCACATGTGGATCTTAGATGGTGGTTTTGGAAAGGTTCTGGAATCACAGCAGATTTTAATTACCTTGCTCTTATCAAGCAGCCTGGGAGGATGTAGAGATGAACTCTGTGACTTTCAGTGGTCCCTGCTGTGCTCAATTGGTGTTAAATGAGCTCTTGGAAGAATTCTCCAATATACTTTGGAGATAACATGCATTGCTATAATAAATCAATAAACATACCTTTAGGAATCTCCCAGTCAAACCATCATGCTTGTTTTATGTATCAATAGACTTTCTTGTAGAATTTAGCATTGTCTGGTCTGGCATATATGACTGAATTTATGGATGGGATGGGTTGACTCTGGCCAGAACTGAAGACCCAGTGCAGATGAACAGTAAATTCTGTGGTTTTTTTCCCCCTTTTATAATTTTCTGTCATGTCAGGCTTATGAGGGAGGACTTAATAATTACAGCTCCCCTATCTCAAATGGACCAATGACAATTTATTAAACAAATTTTCTTTTGTCAAGGACTAATCCTGTCTGATGTCCTTAATGATTTGGTCTTATAAAAAGCTGTTTCTCAGCTTTAAGAAAGGACTTTATAAAAAGCTTTATAGAAAGCCAATAGTCTTCTTAGCCTTCTCTATTGCCCTGTAAATAACTGTAGAATGATGTTACAGCTGTTTCAGAATTTCAGCTGATTAAGTTTGCTCTATTTTGATGAAAAGTGCTCTTCATTCATTTGACACCTCCTGAGTTGAACTGTGTAGGATTCAAAACTACATCAACATTTAGAACCCCTGCAGGCTATATTTAAAGTTTATATTCAATAATGCCTGTTGTGCAGTTTTTTTTCTGGTAGTGATCTTCTTAATTTAAATTCATATTTTGAGCTTTGTGATCTGTGTGATTCTAGGTCAGTGTCAGTACCCAGTAACTTCTCTCTCTTTCTAGTGTTACATTAGTTTTAATACCTTAATTCTGAATATTTTAGATTTTAAACAGGACATGAAAAATTGGTTAGTACTCTCTACAGCAGTTCAAAACTGAAACTTCCTAATGCAGGGCTTATGCTTATGAAATATGTACTTATTTTGATACAGAGAAGCTGTATGGAGATTTTTTGAGTTGGAATCTAGAAGACACTCTCTGCCAGTTTCCTCTAAAACCTGGAAAGATTGCAACATTTATCGTAAACATTAAAGTGAAGCTGGACTTTTCTTGCCAAGAAAACCTTCTCCAGGATCTCAGTGATGGTGAGTTTTTCATTTCTCCTTGCTGGGGAGGGTTGTATGTGCTGCTGGAAACACTTTTCTAATTGCTGTGCCATTTGTGTTACACCCATTTGTGATGTGGCTGCGTGTTTGAATATTTGTGTCTTGTGAAGCAAAGACAACCCTTGGCTGGGCTCTGCAGATTCAAGGGTGAATTTTTGAGGCAGCTCTGGGCAGGAGAGTCTGGCCCAACCTCCTCATCATGAGACCTTGCCCTGCTGCCTTCTAAACTACTTTGTGACAGTGTTTTTGAGGTATCTCTTTGTATCCTTAACTTATGAAGGAAAGGAAAAATAATTCACAAACATGAGTGGGGTGTAAAGGAAAATAGCAGTGAGTTAATTATTTAATTATCCAGGATTGCAGAATTCTGAATGATTGCTGAGTGCAGTTTTGCCTGAAGTGACAGACTGAAATTTAAGGCATAATAATATTTGTACTGCAGAGAAAGTGCCATGTGTTTAAACTTATTTTGAATGAAAGGAAGCTGCAGTGCTTGCTTCTATTAGAATTATTTGGAATTACAAGTATCAGATATTTGTAATAATGATTTCCTTTTTATAATAAACATACAGTCTTTCTGGAATAATTACTCTGTATTTTTTCATTTGTCTGATATATTTACTGATTAAATTACCTTGACAAAGCAAGATATTCCTATATTAAAAACTCTCTGTTATTTGGATTATTTCCCAGGATCCACTTGCAAGTGTGCATTACCATTATAAGTAATCTTTCAGAATAGAAAAATACAACAAAATTACATACAGAGCTTATTCAGGTTGAATAGGAATGATTTCTGTGAGTTACCTTGCAAATGCATTTAGACAAAAATTATAGTAGTTGTTAGTAATTGAAAGATTTTGGTTTTGAAACCTCCCTAATGTAAAATCTAAAGATACTTTAAAAATATTTTAGGACTTAACTGCACAAACCCTACAGTGTTGCTACACTAAAGTTCAATTTAGATCTTGCTGAAAATGCTGATAGTGAAGGAAGAGCACACCCTGACATTGTGAAAACTGGGTGCCAGGGAATTGAGACACTGAAAAATGCCCCTTGATAGCAAGTGACATTTCAGAGTAGATATGTTTCTATAGATATATATGCACACATATATAAGACTTCCTTCATTTGCCCAGTGTCCAAAAAGCTCTGAAACTGCACCTGCCTAGGAGCTTTTCTGATAAAATAACATAAACCCAAAGTATTCTGTAGGAGGTGAAGTTAACACACTACTTAGTATGGACACTGAACAGTTGTGGGATTTGGATTTTTGGCCTCTGTATCCAGCTCTTATGGGAACACAGGTGAAAAAAATCTTTGAACACCATTTTTTTTTTACTCTACTATTAACTCCTGCCTCTCTGAAAGGTTGTGCAGCTGAAGCAGTTCAAGCTTTCCTCTTTCTGTGATGATAAAGGAGTAGGATCCATTAATGCTTTGTTGGAACTTTGGTATCTGTGGGTGCTGTGTACTCTGTGTCCTTTAAAAGTGTTATTAGAGATGCTAAATATATTGACAATTTAATTGCTACTTTATTTTTTTATGTATTGCTTTTAACTTTACAAAGTTTACAGATGCTAAACTTTCCAAAGAGGAGGTAAGAGCGTGATGGGAAGAACAGTAAAGAGCTAAAATCAATGGCAACTATAACATGACTTTTAATCATAGAGTAGCTGTGGTACCTTTTTCTTTTGGAGACCAGCCACATTTACAATGATGATCAAAATACTTTTGTCTCTTAAAAGTAATGTCTTTAGTAGGGCAATTTTTACTTTCACATCTTTTCATTTGCTGCTGTTTCCTTTTTTGTTGTTTGTAATCAGGACATGGTGCAGAAGGGATAAATTACTGATGTTTCTGATAATACATATTTATCCAATTGGAAAGTAAACTTAAGTTATCAGTCTGAATTGCTGATGTGTGTTTGATAGTGTGCTGTCTCACAGAGAGAAATGTTGGGTGTTTTTCCAGATTAAAGGAAGCAAAACCACGAGTGGCTGCACAGGATCAGATCAGTGACCATCCAGCCAATATTCCAACTTTGCCAGTGGCTAAGAGCAGATTCCAGTGGCACAATACAGGAAAAAACTGTGCACACACTTCTGTTTTCCTCTAGGCTTTTGGTCTCCAACTGTTATTAGCTTAGGAGCTTCCAGGACTCAGTATGGTTCCTCTGGTTCTAGGCACTTTTACTCAACCTTGGTGGGTTTCTCCTTTCTAAAATTCTTCGTTCTTCCTGTCAGCACTTCACAGCATGCTGTGGCAAGATGAGTTACAACTAAATTACTTCTTACCAGCTCTGCACTTAGTGGTGTCCATGTGTTCCCAGGTTTTTTTATTGCATGAGAGAGGAAACAGCACATCTTCTAAACGTGGTTCCTGCAGGGATTTGATGCATTTTCCCAGGGTATTGTCACAGCAGACTGGGGATTTCTAACTGTTGAGGGCTTCATTGTCCCTGTTATGGGAACTGTTCCATGTCAGCCGTGTCCCTTCTGAACTCTCAGTTCTGTCTGAGGAAGGCTGTACACACTATTTGAAAGGTGATCTATGTGTTCATGCAGTGACCTAATGGTGCTCTTTGTTTTATATTACATTCCTTACAATCATAGGTTAATGCAAATTCGTAATTTGCTTTTTTGACTGTTGCTCATCATTGATTTGGGAGATTCATGAATGTGTGAACCACAACTCCATGATCTTGCTTCTCAACAGAAATGATATGCTGAGAGCCTCTTACTGCATGTATAAGTTTAGGATTCTTTCCCTCCATTTATTTATGCTGAATTTTGACATCTTATTGGGTCTTTTCTCCCAAGTAACAAAAGACAAGATGGGAGGAAATGAGTTTAAGTTGCACCAGGGGATGTTTAGATTGGAAGTTAGAAAACATTTCTTTACTGAAATGGTTGGAAAACATTGGAACAGGCTGCCCAGGGTGGTGGTGGAATCACCAGCTCTGAAAGCATTCCAGAAAATGTGTAGATGTGGCACTTGGGGACGTGGTTTAGTGGTGAACATGATGGTGGTGCTGGGCTGAGAGTTGGACAGTGATGATCTGGGAGGTGTTTTCCAACCTTAACAATTCTGTGATTCCATGTCTTAAAGCAAGTTGACCAAGATTTGGGAGATCCATGTTTGCTACAAATCTTAGTGAAGTTTTGGATCTCTTGTCCCTCAGCTGGATGGTTCAGAGTTCCTCCTCTGGCTGGAAAGGTCAGCATGGACATTTAATTTGATTCTGAGGTTGTTAGACTGGGTGAGGCAGGGGGAAGCACTCAGCCAGTCACAAGGAGCTGAAGCAGTGAGATCTCTGTCACCTGTTAAGGTGACTGAAAAGATCAACAGGATATTCACATCATGAGCATAATGAATTCCCTTTTCCAGCTATTATACTGCAATTTCTGAAATTCAGCATTTCCCTGACACTAAATGGGGTAAGAACAATAGCTGCTCTTTCTGGATTGTGTTATACATGGTGACTTGTTGGAGACTTTTAAAAAAGCTCCTGTTACGTGGGGACAGTGTTTTGCAAAGTTAATGAATTAATTTGCAATGATTACTTCATTATGTAGAATGTTAACGTTCATTTATTCCCTGTATAGGGAACCTAAAGACAAGTGTGAGTATATTTAAATTCATAAACTCATCAAAGGAACTAATTAATTACATGTTGAGAGAGAAGCAAATATGTGCCTTAAGTGTCTTCTTCCCTTCTCTTGACGCCTTGAGAGGCATCCTGGAATAGGCTAGACAGAGTTAAAGGAATAAAGCAGGTATTTATTAAAAGGCCTTCAAAGGATACACCTTAGGCAGTACAAGAGCCTGGCCAAGGCTCCACCCAAGATGGACAATGGGTCACGAGTTTTCACACTTTTATAAGTTTTAATCCATTTACATTTTGGGGTTAATTGTCCAGTTACAGCTTCAGGTTATGCAGTCCCATCCTCCCAGATTGCTCTCCTCAATTTGCTGTTTGCACTTTCTGGGTCTGAAGCTGCCATGCTGTCCTTGGGCTGGTAAAGGATTGTTTTGTCTGACTGAACTGTGAGGAGAACTTGCTAACACTTTATATGATGTTCAGAGTTATATACTAATGCAGTACAGAATATAAAAATAAGAAAGCTAAAACTTAAGGCATCACTCTAGGGGAAAAAAGTTGCAGAGAAATAATAGCATATTTCTAGAAGCACTAATCTTGAACAGTTTTTAACATTGGTAGGCAAGACTAGTGTATTTTTCAAACTCATTTTGTTGTTTTTCTGCTTGAATGGACAGGTTTTATCTACTTCAAAATGTCCCTGCACTTACATAGTGTCCAGAGAAAGCATTTTTTTTGTTGTTGTTGGAGTGATACCTGGTTTGGAAGTTAAATGGTCTCTTGACAGTTCTTCCAAGAAACTAAGTAGCCTGGAGGACTCTGTTAGGGTAATGGTATCACTGATGATGATGATGGGATCCTCAGAGATGTTTCATTTTCATGTTACTCTGCTTGGTAGCTTTTATTACATTTAATCATTCTGAATATTCTTTTCAAGTGACTTAATTTCTAAGAGTTTTTTTTTCTCTCTGCAGTTTGAAGATGTCAGTTTGGTTGACATGAGTAAATGACATAACAAAATGAATAAATGAGGTTTTTTTCCTTTTGTTTTATTTTTTTAAAATACAGATGCTTCTGTGTCCTCCATCACTGTGTAACTTTAAAAATACTCTTAATTTTTTTTTGAGAACTACAGAATTCTTCTTGAATTCCAGCTTCAGTATCTATGGAAGATAAGGTGCTCTTTTCCCTTCCTGCTACATTTTAAACCAGATAAATCAACTTCTCATGATTTGACTAATATAGGGTGGGATGTTTTAACAGTATGTAAGTGCCATAGTACTTCAGCCTATACCAGTAGTACCAGCCACTACACAAATACACAGAGAGCTGGTGTTTCAGATCCCAAATCTTTACAGTGTAAATAACTGACACAGACATGAGGCAAATTACAATAAATTGATTATTGGCACATATAAGGCCAATAAACCTGCCATCCTGTAATGCTGTTCCTTTGCTGAGGCCCTTTATTTTAGCACCTAAAGTAATCTGCATACATAATCTCTACTGTTTATTATGAACTTCTTTACACTTCATTTGTTCTCTTTGATTGCATTCACCCTTATTGTAAATTTATCATCCAATTTTAGTTCAGTTCAACAACCTCAGGACATAAATCCTTATTTCCAGTTCATTTGTTGTTGTTAGTTATTGTCTTCAAAGGTAATGGGGTTTCAGAGAAGAGCTCAAGTTTGGTACGTGTTGGTTTTTGCCCTGCTCTGGGAGCCAGAGAGCTGCTGCATTCCCAGGAACTTTGCCTGGAGTGCTGCTGCCTGGGGTCCCTCCTGTGATGGTCCTGAGCCTGTTTTTGAGAGAGGGAAGGAGCTGCACCTCAGTGCCCACCTGAAGTGTGAAGGGTGGATTATATTCCTCCAACTCTGTGTATTCTGGTGTTATTCTGCTCTTTGTTGCTGCACACAGCAAGTTTCTAGAATTCTGAACATTTCATGAGAATACAGTTCTCTTTTTCTAGAGGAAAAAAAAAGCATTCAAGTTCAGCAAGCAGAGTCTGTCTCCTGTCTTGAGGGTTTTTTTTCTATTTTTCTGCATGTTTAAAGTACTTTATAGCTGTTACAGTGTTCTTATGAGATACTGCCTATCAAGAGGTTTTTGTTTTGAAATTTCAGTCAGGCAAGAATTGACAAAATAAGCAAATGAGGTGGCATTTAGTTTTCATATGTTATGATCAAGCTGTGTACTTCCCAAAAACTCTGTGATTCTATGACGTAGCATCATGGAATGGTTTGGATTGGAAAGTACTTTAAAGATCATCTCATTCTACCTCCCTGCCATGGGCAGGGACACCTTCCACTATCCCAGGTTGCTCCAAGCCCTGTCCAACCTGGCTTTGAACACTTCCAGAGATGGAACAGCCACGAATTCTCTGGGCAGGCTGTGCCAGGACCTCATCACCTTCTGGTTAAAGAATTTCTCCTTGTCAGTTTGATGCCACCCCCCCTTATCTTGTCACTCCACAGCTTTACAGAAAGTCCCTCTCAAGCTCTCTTGGACTCCTTTAGGCCCTGCAAGGGGCTCTAAGTTTTCTCTGGAGCCTTCTCTTCTCCAGGCTGCACAGCTCCAGCTCTCCCAGCCTGTCTCCAGAGCAGAGGTGTCCCAGCCTTTGATCATCTTTGATGCCTCCTTTGGAATTAGTCCAGCAGCTCCACATCCTTTTGCTGTTGGGAGCCCCAGAGCTGGACAAAACACTCCGTGGAGGATCTCCCCAGAGCAGAGCAGAGGGGCAGAATTCTCCCCAGAAACATCCCTGGGCTGCAGGAGGGGATCCTGCTCTGGCCAGCAGCCCCTCCTGCCCTCCCTGGAATGGGCTGCCCAGGGTGGAGGTGGAGTCTCCATCCCTGGAGGTGTTTCAGGAAAGGCTGGACATGGCACTCAGGGCTCTGGTCTGGCTGATGTGCTGATGTCTGGTCATAGGTTGGACTCTGTAGTCTCTGAGGCCTTTTCCAACCTAAAGATTCTGGGATTCCTCCTCCTGGTGCCCCTCTCAGGGTCCTGTGCTGCTGTTCAGGAAGCTGCAGGAGCAGGTCTGCACTGCTGCTGGATTGCATAAAACTCTCCTGGAAAGAAGCAGCACTTCAGCCTGAAACCTTCCACTGTTTCCATCTCTTGTGACATCGAATTTCCTGGGCTTTGCCTCAGAATCCAAACCTCTGTGGCGTCCTGCTGCCAGTGGAACAGTTTTTAAGTGTTTCCTTGCAGTGGAGTTTGAGACTTGGGTAGCTGTGGTGTATGTGTTGAAAAGTGGATCCATTTTACTCTCCTGGATCAGGCCAGTGATCCTTGCACAGCATGACAGGGACAGGAGCTGTCCCATGCCACCTCTCCCTTCTGTGCTCAGTTACCACATTGTAAATCTACTGGTTTAACTTCCTGAATGCACTTTCCCTCATTCAAATAAGAAATTTTGTGGGATTCTTCTGTGCAGTGTGCTGGGAAAGTGCCTAATGATGTTAAATTGACAATTTACTTAACATTTGAGAAGAGAGAGGAAATGCTGGGAAGAGATTTTGCTCTGTTGTGACAGCAGTGACTGGGATGTTGGAAAGGCAAGCTGTGTTTTTGCAGTTACCATGGAAAAAGTGTTGGTCATATGCTGTTACTATGGAGATATTCAGTGTGGATTGTTGAAATTAGGAAAATTTCTGGACAGAGTAGAAAGACAATTATTCTTTTTATAGTACAAGGTTTCTCAGGATGTTTGACAGTAGGGATTGACAAAAGAAAGCTACGGAGGATTTAGCATCTTCAGGTCTCTAAACTTCATGAGAAAAAATAAAATGTATGAAATCTTAAAAAATAAAACTATCAATAATGTAAAACTTCTGGAGAGCTCCTTCATTGATGTTCACTATTCTGCCATCATTAAGTTCTGCAGCCTACCAGGGTTTTTAACAGGATTTCCCCTATTCTGACTAATTATTGCTGGGCAAGAGGAGCTGGGCAAGGTCTTTTTCCCTATTGCTTCCTGATCAAAAACCAGAAAAAATAATTTTAAAAAATCTGTTTGTAGCAGAAAATGAATTTTTTTGTCCTCTGGCAGAGAAGTTGCCTTGAGCAGCCCAGGCTGTGAAGGGCTGAGTCATTTGCAGCATAACAAAGTGCCTGGCACTGGCTCTGTGACAGTGCCACAGACTTGAGACAGAAAGTTCAACCATTACCAAGTTACCTTGGACATCCCTTTCATCCTGATGTCTCCTCTGCTTGAAAACCTCCTTTTTCAGATACAGATTAGAGAGTCAAAAATGTCTTATTTCCAGAGAAAATGTTTAAACTATTGTCTTTTCTTCTCCTCCCACCGTAGAAAATAAAAATAAAATGGGATTTTAAAGGATAAAATAATTAAGAAAGGCATTAGTTGTATCTCTGTGATGTTGTTTTTGGTATTAGCTATTATTCTCTCAAAGAAATAAAGCTCATGCCATATAAAAAGTGGAAAATCTGACTAATGCCATGCAGGTTTTCATACTGGCTTCTTTTCATGTTTAAATTTGCAATTTTATGCACCAGTCAGTGTCAGTTTTGTTCTAAATATAGAACTAGTGAAAATCATTCATCAGTTGGCGAAGAATATTTTTCCTCAATTAAAACTTCTAATTTTCATTTTGAAAGAGCAGCTTTCAAAGCCTGTGATCAAATGTTGTTCTGTGTTTATTTCTGTATTTTGTCTTGTTCATGGTCCTGCTGCATTGCACGGGCAGGGTGCTCTGACCTCCTGTCCTGCTGTCCCCCAGGAGCTGATAGAACAGGAATTTATTCAGTGCTAAGGTGCATTTTAGAATTACTTAGTGAAGGAAATTGCAAGTAAGGGAATATGGGAATACTCCCTTTGTTTTCTCATTTGGATACCTGTGAAGTTTAATGAAGCAAAACCCCTTTCATGTTCCATCTTGTTCTTTTGGTTTCTTCTTTTGAGGAATGTATCCTCAACACGTCCAGATTTCACAGGAGCAATTTAGGAAATATGTTTGGATTTTGTGTAACAATTTGGTGTTTCTTATGTGTTCAGCTGTGTCTCTGCTGCTGTACATGAGATTTTGCTTCTATTTAGTTGGTATTTGTGGACTTCAGTTGCTCTGCACAGCATCAAGGAACAAAGTTTATTCTTTGGATGTAAATCTAAATAATAAATAGTGAATCTAGTTTTACTGTTTGTTAAGGCTTCATAATTTCAAAACTCTTGTTCTTCTGACTCTTTTGACTTAGGAGTAATTTTTACACGTTTTAAATTTGTGCTTAGAGTGGAGTCCTGGTTGGGTTGAGAACCCCAAGGATACTACAGTGCAATTTTTACCACAATATATACTTGAAAAAGACCAGAAATTAATTTAAATTAATTTAAAGGAGCTGATAGGGTCACACTGTCATGGAAAAACACAAACTTTGATTTTTATTTTAATACTGTGAATGTTAAAACTAATTTTATATTATTAACTCTGGCATCTCTGTTGTGATATTTCAAATGTAGTTGCCATCTTTCCCTATGATATTCACCGAGTTTTTGGCGTGTTCTAGTTTGATTGTTTTTGGTGTCCTGGGAGAAACAGCCAAATAATCTTTGTCTTTTGTTTGGTCTTTTTGTGTAAAAGGTTAATATCACTTTTTGTGTCTTTTCTCTCCCTTTGATAATACAAATATAAATTAATTGGAACAAAACATAACGTTAGACAAGCAAAAGTAATTTTATATATTCTGTTTTCCAGATGGAATCAGTGTCAGTGGACTCCCACTCTCCAGTCCTTTCCGACAGGTTGTCAAACCAAGAGTGGAGACCAAACCTCTTAATCCCCAAGAAAGCAGCAAAGTTGGTGATTTCAGTCACGTCAAGGTAAGGGAATGACATGAAAATAAGAAAAATCTGTGTTTTTTTTATTGTACTGTGCTATGGTTTGTTGTGTGATTAAAAAGCAAAGGTTTCCTTGTCTCATAAATACTTCCCTTTGGTTTCCTTTAGCACAGCTTGATGTTCTGTGTACGGATTGTTATATTAGAGCCAACAAACAAAAAAGGTGACGAAAGATCAGGCTAAGAGTGAAAATTGCAGAGCTGGCTGTCCCTGTGGTGTGCTGGGGGAGCTGTCAGCTCACCTCATGGTGCTTTCTCATGCTATTTACTCTGTAGGAAGATGCTTCTCTATGAATTCTTGGCTTTCTTGCAGTGAGTTTTTTTTAGTGGTGTTCATACACGTAATAAAACAGAATAGTTGAGTCAAAGGAAAAGTAAATGAAAGTAGCAGGGTGGAAGAACAGTTGTGTAGGTGGAAGCTGCACTGTGCTTACCAAGAGTCTGCCCTGGCCTTAGCTCTCTTTGCTTTTCTGTGGCAGATCTTACCTGTTGAAGGTGTAAAGTTGTTGTTTTGAGGATGATATATTTTTAGCTTCGTATAGGCAGGTTTGTAAGTAATGGACTGCAGCACTTCAGTGGTCTCTTCCCAGCTTTTGATGAATGTTGTGTTGTGTGCAGTATTTGATACATTCCCTCACTGATCCGTGTTCTGCATCAGCTCATCCCATCAGCAATTACAGTGAGTTTTGTACCTGGCAATATTTGGCTTCACATGTGTTTGGCTGAGAAGCAAACACAGGCTCTGCTTTTCTCAGTGACTTGCTTTGCCTGTGAATTTGCTTCCTTCACAGTGAGAATATTCACAATTCTATCTGGGCAATAAACAAGTGAAGCTGTTAATTTGTAAATGTGTTTCATTTGGACTATTAGCACTGCAAATTCATCATTAATTGATTTTGCAGCACAGAAAACATGACTGCAGCATAGGAAAGGTGTTAGCAAAATTACTAAAGCCTTTGTGTTTTATGACATAGCAAGGTGTTTCCTAATTGTTTATAAATATAAATCAGCATGATTGAGGAAATAATTTGCTATTTAAGTGAATAAAATGGCCAGCATTAGTTTTTAAGTTCAGAGCTTTGTGTGGAATGTCTGACCTGTAGACACTTCTCAGTCATGGAAGCAAGGGGAATGTTACTTCAAGATAGGATTAAAAATCTAGAAATGCATAACTTTGCATCAAGTACACGAAGAAAAAAGCATTTTGGTGCACTTTTTGCTTGTCAATCAGTTTTCCTGGCAACCAAGAAATTGCAGGTACCCAGTGATCTCTGTGATAGTATTAGAAGGATGTTGGAGAGCTGTAAAGCAGAAACTTGGTTTTTAACATGTGTAGCTAAACAGTGTGGTGGGAAGGCATATGCTGGATCCTGTTGCCAGGTTTATGGGATGAATTTTGATTAAATTGGTATTTTGCAACAGAAGAACCATTCAGATGATCAAAACTATGTTGAGTAGAGAATACACGTTCTAACAGCAACAGAGGGTTCTTTGCTGAGTAAATAATTCTCTGTCCTGATGAGCATCACTGCTGTACAACACCTGTAGTGTGCCTGGAGTTTGTCCCAATTAAACCACTATAAACCAGTAATTGGATCTGCTTGGGTTAAAAATGCCTATGGAGCTATTTAGAAACTATTTAGAACTATGCAAGACATGTTTTTTTATTCACTGAACTATCCACATAACTAAGTCTCTGTACATGGACAGACAATAGAGGTAGTGGGTTAATGACCAGAAAAAATTACCTGCTGTAAGTGAGGAGATGTATTTGCCTCTTTAGGCAGTCAGTCTGTGATAATGTGGATTTCTGCTGGTGACTTCTGTTTTAACACTGCTCTTTAGTAGGAAGCAGCATAGGAACCACCAGTAACTTAAAATGAAAGCTAGGTAAATTCCAAACCATAGAATTAGAGAATTACTGTAAACAATCCAATCAATTAAGCATTTAAAGATATAATTAGAATGTGCTATGGTCTGGTTTTCTTGGCTGAATTTTGAGGAATTTGCTGTAGATTTGGATTTGAGTCTGTCTGTTTTAGACTGCTTGTCTTTGAGTACATGAATCATGTTCATTGTCAAATGCTTTTGCTCAGACATCGCTGTCTGAAATGAACCAAGCTGAGATATGCACACGAGAGGATCCAAGGTTCCCTTTGATACTGATTCTCAAAATATTTGATATTTATGAACCTTTTTGAGTTCCCTAGAACCTCCTTAAAAGATCCTTGAGTTTGTCCCTGTGGCAGCAGAACAAATCTGGGTTTGTGGGATGTTTGTCCTTCACGGTGCAGTTTGGGATGAGTGCTGGGTTACATTTGGTTTATTGTGCCAATTAGAGTGGTTTGACAAGGACTAATGTAAGAAGCAAGTGGGAGTTTTTAAGTTAAGAAGCAAGATGGATCTTAAACAATTTGTATGAGTGGTGAAAACACTCTGCTGTCACTTATTTATGATTTAACAATAGGTGTCTGGTGTGAATATTCAGGGGTAGTGGTTATTTTTCAATCCTGCAAGCTGTGCATAAGCTCATCTTCAAATAAAAGTGAACTTCTGCAAATGAAAGTGAATGTAAATCAATGCTTCTCGTGTTGCTGATTCTGAAATGTCCTTGTTCAGATATTTATAAGCCTCATACTTAAACCTTCCCTCCCTACTTGTTTGCCTTACAATTTTTGTGCTTCAGTCTTGGATATTGCAGTCGAGCTTCTCTGCAATCTCTGTTTCCAATTTTGCTGCAGGCTGTCTCCTAATAAACCAGTCACTGGCTTCTGGAAATGACTGTTACAATGAGCTCATAAATTCAGTGTAAAAATTGCTTTATGACCTCATCATAAAGCTTGCTTATACCCTCAAGCTGAATAGAATCTCATGCTTTAATATTATGTTCAGATACTCTTTTCTGCTGTTCAGTGCTGGGCTGTTGTGCTGAGCCTTGTCTAAACTCCTTGGTTGTTCCATGAAAGGATGAATTACCCTGCTTAGGGTAACTCATCCTTTCACCATTGCTGTGGTGATACTGGTGTGTGAATGTCAGTTTTGAGGCTGAATCTGTTACTTTGTGAGTAACACTGCAGTGTGTTTAGATATTCAACTATTCTATGTCTTAATGCAAAAGCTGCAGCAAGAAATTTAACCAGATGTCATAATCTTTCAGAAAACACAGTGTTAGTTTTAACCAAGGGAATTCTGCACTGCTTTTCATGCTTGGAAACTGAGATTATGTGGTGTAGTCTAGTTCTTGTCAGATGGAAGAAACACACTAGCACTTCAATCCATATTCCATATGGACTTGAGCTTCAGACATCAACCCAAATGAAGAGTTGAAATTGAGAACTCTTTCAGCTGGGTGATGAAATCTTTGAAAGCCTATTGTGAGTATTTTAAAACCTTGGTTTAAGCTGTTAAACACACCCTGTGCTTACTGGCCAGTTGTTTGGCAGACAGGGCAGGTTTATAATTTATAAGGGATTTGGCTGACTTATTTATTTGTTTTGAGACTTGTTTGTTCAGGAGAATTTCCCTCTGCCTCCTGAATGTGAGCTGTAATTCTGGAGATTGAGCTGCAGAAGCTGGAGAGGTTTAAGTACTCTCATAAAACTGCTCTGCTCCTGCACTTCAGTAAATGGTAGGAAGTGTTAAAATACAGTATGTAGAGCTAATTTAATTTAACACACTGTCTTTAATGTATCTTTTCTGATTTACTCAGCAGTGTATTAAGATGAGATACAGGCCTTAATTGGATTTTTTTCTATTCAGTTCTCGGGCTTTACTGTTCTATATGAAAGTGTGCTGGTGATAGGGATAAACTTTATATTGTTGATATTTCAAGTTCTAACTCCTTTTATTCATAAGTCTTATATCTATTCTGAGTTTAAGCCCTTAAACAGAGCAAGTGGGATTTAAAAAAAAAAAAAAAGTTAGAGTGGATGTAGAGTCCATAGAACACAACTGAAATTTAGATTCATTTTCATTGAAGAAATGTGAATAGGAATGAGATCTTAGGCACAAGTATATAGTCCAGTACATCCACACTGTCCTATTTTGTAATTCAGTACTGTGCTTGTAAATTCTGTGGCCCTGAGTTCTCCCTCAGTATTAAACATGTCAAGTCTTATGTTTCTATCTCTTGTTTCCCTAATAACTTTCAAGATGGTAGAAGATAAAAAAATAAACAAAGCTCTTTCACTTCCAAATCTGATTTTTATCAAAATAATACGTATCTTATTTTTTATAATTGAAAATTTGTGATATGAATGCCAGAAGGCCACTCACATTTCCTGAAGCCTGCTCAGATTGGAGCTGTGAGCCACGTCAACCTTTGCCAGGTCAGCAAGGTGTTTTATCTTGCCTTCCTGGCCAAGAATTGCAGTTTTCTTTATGATAAAGTGGATTATAAAAATAGAGCTGTTCTGCAAAAACAAGGGAGAGATGGGTTTTTTGGCAGTTGGTACCTGTCTGGCAAAATTTGATTATGATCTGGATCTGGATGAAAGCTGGCAATTTTTGAGCAGTCTGGGTCTAAATGCTTTTAACTTTCCTTCCCTGCCCAGTTCAGCATTGCTTACCTTCCCTGGAGTTCTATAAATAGTTGAGTATTCCACACGATTTCTACTCACCACTCCTCTTGCTCTCTTCTTCTGTGAATTGTTCTCTCAAGAAAGGAACAGTCTGTTGTGCCCTAGAGAGGACTGTAATTCAGAACACTAAGAAAATATTTTACTGAAACTATTCCCTAGAGCCAGGAGTGGAAAAACTTCTGCCGCTTGGATTTGGGTAAATTAAATTCATTCAGCTTGTCTGAAATTTTACTTTCAATATTATCACAGTAGCATCTGCAATTTCAATGCAATATGTTTTAGAACTTCATCTTATTTGACATGAAAGAAGGATTAAAAATTTTATAAAGTGCTAATAGAAAAAAATTGGACAGATGCACTGTCTGCCTGTCAAAAACACTGTTTCTGTGGACTTTCTTCATTG